AAGAAGAAGAAGAAGAAGAAGAAGAAGAAGAAGAAGAAGAAGAAGAACAAAAACGAAGAGAAACCAGGACCGGAGAAAACAACAGACAAAAAGTCATATGAAGCGCCTGAGACCAGCGCCTGAGGCACATGAGACCACGCTGGGGCGTTTGCTCCTGTCTGCGGGCTCGGTCGCCCGGTCGGGCTCGGAGGTGCCGTCTTCGTGTGTCGGGCGTGGTCGGTCGTGTAGAATAGACTCAATGTGTCGGAGTGGGAGAGGAGAGTGTGAGAAGACCTACAATAACATGTAAATACTATATAACTAAATACTACAGGAAACCATACAGGTCTACAGCAGCTTTACGCAAGGGACTACAATGACTAAAGCAGCCAGGCCTGCGTTGACTTTGTGCTTTGCAGTCTTGTCTGAGGCGCTGCATCCTGGCAAGGGAACAAGGACGAGAACGAAGTGGGGTTGTAACATCTTGTTCAAAGGTATCAGCAAACCACAACTATAAGACAAGTCTTAAGAAGGCAAGCGCCTCAAAGGGGCCGGGTTCAAGAGTTGGGGCCGGATTCATGTCGCAAGTGATAAAACTCAGATGTGCGGGCTGTAGTCCGTCCCCATGTTCCTTCCCACCCAACAATCACCCCTTTCTTGAATCTTGTTGACACTCGCAGTGGGATTGTTTGGAACCCTTCGCTTTTCTCTATTGGAAGGGTGGAACGACCGTGCCAGCATGACCGATTCCACTGGTTCATTGGTTCCCATCATTGACCATGATGGGGAACAGCATCATCGACCTTTCAAAAACAACGTTGCAGGAAGTTCAAGAAGATCGTTTCTGTCCAACACTCAGTGGATCTAGTTGGGGCTCGGTGGAGGTCGTAGAAGAGAACAGCACTCCGTCGCTCGAACGCCAGCTACGAACATGGGTCGCAGAGGTCTTGATAACTCTGCAGGTCAGAGGCTTTGATAACTCTTGTGCTTGCCAGGTCGAATGTTGAAATGAGGTTGCAACTCTGACTTGCACGAGGCACTGCATAGTCTGCATCGTGCTGCTCTCCTACAGTAACCTGTGCTGTTCCACTCTCTGCCTTTTGCTTTGGTTTTTGCTTAAAGGATGGACCGAAAGGATCAGAGATGGTTCGCTTGCCTTTGTATTAAACAGCCGTGCATCTCTTTTGGCTGTCCGCCGTAGAGGTATGTCTTTCATATACATACATACTTACATACTCATAGATTACCGACATCCATAACACCTTCACACCCCAGCACCCCAACATGTGCAATTACAACTACGATGCAATATCCTATACCGGCTGATTAGAGCAATCCAGCACTTGTGGGAGAAACTCTGTATCCATTTTCACTCAGATTGCGTCTCAATGTTTGTGATCCTATGAACCCTGGACCTCGAAGGTAGGCCGGACCCGCCAGGAGAACGAAGCTGAAACCTCCAAGTCATCCAAGCCATGTTCGACCAGAATAGTTTGACAACCTCAACTGGTTTTGAGATGTTTTGAGATTATTCAAGAGCAAACTGGATTAGCATGCAATTCCCTCTCATACTACGTCTAGCGTTTCCCTTTGAGCCAAGGTCTGACGTACTCTGGGGAGAATAAATTCTGATTCAGAAACTACGATTCAGAAACTACGAAGAAGAACACTGCTTCAGAAGTTGAGCGGGTAGGCGGGGGGTGGGGGGGGGGCCGGGGGGGGTGGGATAATGACGTTCAGTTTTTGGTTGCGAGCAATGCGAGGAAGCACATCAATCACGCAGGCCCACAGAAGAACAAGCAAAGTTAACAGGAACATGCCAAACAAAACTCTGCTTCAGAAGTCGAGCAGGTAGGTGGGTTGGGGGTGGGTGGTGGGCGGGTGGGTGGGATAATGACGTTCAGCTTCTGGTTGTGAGCAAGGCGAGGAATCACATCAATCACGCAGGCCCGCGAACATGCCAAACATTTCAACTGGTGTGAAAAGGAAACCTCAGTTTGGAATAGTTTGGACGGATTGTTTCAATTGATACGCCGTCTAGGGACTTATGGTTTGTTATGGTTTGAGTTACTGTATCATAAGTTTGGCAGTCATCTCTGTGGCAACGCTCGGGCCTACTTGGAGCGTATATAAATTTCTAGCTTCCTTCAGACATCTGCTATAGGCTATAGTTTCCGAATCAGGCGGTAGTTTCCAAATAATGGTTTCCGAATCATACTTTCCGAATCAGCCTGCAGTTTCCGAATCTTAGTTTCCGAACAATAGTTTCCGAATCCGTCCTTGACCCTTTGGGGAGTCTTGCCGGATCCCACGTTTTGTCCCGCACTGGTTGAACTGAACGACAAGAGTCAGTCTACTTCCATGTGTCGCGTGCACCGGCGATGCACATCACCTTTCGCAGCCCAGCGCACCAGCGCCGGCACCGGCGGTTGGGGATTAAAACCACATGGGTTTCATATCCAAAGATCAGACGCAGATGGTGCAGATTGTCTGTCTGGCGTTTGGTTTTTGGTCCATTTTAGTGAAATCCTGTTGTGGCTGCCGCACCCTTATTTTTGATCCAATTCACACAGACGTGTCTTGACATAGGGAGACCCTCCAGTTCGACTCCTGCGAAGAGGACAAAGCAACTAAATCTCAGGCCCAGGGGTTGTCTCCCTATCGCAATGCACACTTCGATGGAGGATTTGACCAAATCGATGGTTTGGGCCGGTGGGCATCCCTTCACAGCGAAAACGCGGTGACAAATAAAACACATCCCCTGTCGTTTCGTCCAGGCCATCGATTTTCCACATTGTAGTGCATCCCTCGCCCACTGAAACATCCCCTTGTGTTGCTTAAAAAACGACAACACACAACACACACAACATAACACAAAAGCGATACAGAACACATGCATCAACGAAATACCGCCGTGGCCCGCCCAGTGACCGACGTGGAGCTCCGTGCCCCGGGCGGTCAACGCATCGTGGGCCCGGACGCCGAGACCCGGGGCGCCCGGGGCGTGGAGGGATTTGAGGAGCGGATCGCGACCATTTGGGTGGGTGATTTGGGTGTATTCGAATGAATTCCTGCGTGTTTAGTTTTTCGTTAATGTGAGTGTTTTTTCGATCTGGACAAGCATGCATGAATACCACAGTGGGAAAAGCCATTGTTTTGGTGTACTGATTGGTTTTCCCATAGATTCTTGGATCAGGAAGAAAAGTACCCAACAAGCCATTGTAACGTGCAGATGAACATGACTCACCAAGCAACAGGGCCAGTCGCGACCCCGGCAGACTGGTCAGTGCACACGCACTGCGGTGAAGGTGCCTACAACAGTGGCAACATTTAGAAGATTGAAGTTCGTCTTCTTGGCTCACGAAACAAAGCCGCAAGTGTCCAAACAAAGAACCCTTTTTGACCCGCCATCTCCTGTGCTCCCCCGCTGCAAGCTGAGTGTACGCCTTCGTGTGCCGATTCCAGTTTCAACTCCAAGATTCCCTGCGAAACCGGGCTTCCTGGTGGAATGCAAAGCATTGATCTGGAAGAACTCCCACTTCCGCGATCCATTCCCCCTTCTTGTGGGACCTGTGACCTTCTAAGGCACCCTTGCTGAGTTCGGTCCATTGTTCTGAATGTTTGGGCCGGCTTCGGTTTGTGGCCCTGCCTTCAATTTGTACTAAGGGAAACTGAATCCTATTGTTCATGCATGCTGTTTGAAGCAATATGCATGTGTTCATGTGTTTGTCTTAGACCGCAGTGCTTTGCGTTGAAACTGACTGGTTGCCCAGTGCTGGTCCTGCGGTTGCTTGTTTTTTGTCCCGCCCGTGTCCCCAAAACTAACTAGGGGGTGTTATTGCACTCCATTACTGATGCTCTACCTTGGCCTTGTTGTTGATCTGAGCGACACATATCCGAGCCATTCTGGGTTCTCGGTTTCTTCAATTTCTTTAGTTGGAGACTTGTGGTCGAGTGATCCATGTAGGCCCTTGGCCTTCCTTCTTTCTTGTCTTCGCAGGTGCTCAACCGGGATACCACTAATGAATTTCGTGTCTACTTCACACGATGGGTCATCCAAACGACACTCCCAGCGAACGACCTTGGCGATGGACGGGATTCCATCGTTCTGAAGTGGGTAGGCGGACTCCCACCGAAATCGTGCTGGCAGCCTTGATGTCCCAATGCTGACCATATTCTTGGCAGGGGAAACAAACCACTAGATAGGTAGATACATAGATAGATAGAGAGATAGACAGATAGACAGATATAGAGAGATAGACAGATATAGAGAGATAGACAGATAGATCGATAGATCAATGGATAGGTAGGTAGGTAGATAGATAGATAGATAGATAGATAGATAGAGAGATAGAGAGATAGACAGATAGACAGATAGACAGATAGACAAATAGATAGAGAGATAGATCGATAGATCGATGGATAGGTAGATAGATAGATAGATAGAAAGATAGACAGGAAAGATATGCACCGAACGTATTTGGAGCTGTCCCGCAGTTCTTTCGCTCTGTCGGGTGAAGAATGCTGCTTGGTAGGCTTTGACGCTACCGGCTCCGATCTCAGCAGGAGCTTGAGCCGAAGGACCAGCAAAGAGGAGGTAGCCAAGACTTGTCTTTCGTGCGTGAAGCTGAACGACACAACGTTTTGCCTTCCACCGGGCTCCTTCTGTCTGCAGGGGCCAGCGATGTCATGAGCCTTGTGGCCAATTCCAGGAAGTTTGGGGAGCGGCAGCTTTCACATCCACTTCGATAAGCTTTGCTTGAATATAGCCCAGATTTGCAGACTAGGGTTGCAATCAGGTTTCAGAGAACCGGCACTGTTCCGTCCACATCAGCTTGGCATTGGGTGCAACATGCGCCCCAAAAGAAAGGCGCAGCAGCTGTGGGCAGAGCCAATGGCCCGTTCATTGTCACCGCTTCCGAAACACCGAAAAACGAGAATACTTCGATCCTCACCGCGGTGGCCGCCACCGAAAGTCCTGCCATTTTGCTCTCCCGTTCGGCAGCCGCCGAAATGCCTCGAGGCGTCATCGTGTTTGATGGTCACTCGGGCAGCCTCTGTGCCACTGGGTAGTATTGATTCGATTAAGGAGGAATTTGTTGTGTGGGGAAGAGGGGGGGATCAAGTGCAAGACGGCGTCATGAAAATATTAGGTGCTTTGCACTGTGCACATTGAACATTATACGTTATCGACGTTTTAGATGATGTTGGTGCTCTCTGCAAGAAGGGCACCACATCCTTGTAGAGTCCTATGGAGTATGTGGTGCTTGGGTGCTTGTTTGAATGTAAACGCTGACAAGCATTTGCATCTACAATCAGAGCTTGCAAGAGACAAAGGGCCCCTGACTGAAGAAAAAGGGTAGGAAGACACCTAAACGAGACAAATTCATTCCCAGTTTCATGTTCATGACCCCTGATCTGAACCTCCAAGTGGTGGGTGCTGTTCTCTTATTGAACACCGATCTGAGAAAAAAACCATGCGTTTGGATGCGTTTGGGGTTCCCGACTGCATGAGTCTCAAAGGGGCAAAACTGGACCACATGCCAGCAACTTGACCTTGAAGGACCCTTTGAACGAGCATGGCGAACCAGGATGTTTTTGGATTCGAGCATTCGAAATCATGGCTGTTAGAAGTTGAAACATTGTGACAGTACCCAGAAGTTGGTTCCGCTGTTCCAACAAAACCAATACTCAGGCATTTACGAAACTTCGGGATTTCCTGTGATTGGTTGTCATCACCGACATGAGAATCTTTACACCAGCCTGATTTGTGTCGCCGTGTTGCACTGAGGTAGACATCATGATGGATTGGTTGCCAAGGAGTTCAGAAACTTCTGTTGCTTCCGCATACCCACCGATGATTACGACGGGTATATGGGTTTTGAGATACCGTTGTGGTTTTCGCGCATACGGACTTCTCTCGTAGAGATTTCAGAACTGTGTTACTCTTTTCTACAAAGTCCTTGGCCGCAGTGCCTAAGACAAAAGAGAACGGATTCGCAAGCAAAACCAATTGGATAGACGAGCGAAGGCTCGTCCCCACCTTTGGACAAGATCCTTCGCCCCAAAGAACCATGAGTGCCAGTGCTCCTTCAACCAAGCTTCCCGGCTCCCCCCTTTAGGGCGTGGGGAGCTTCCTTGAAGAAGCGTGAGCTATCCTGCGTCCATACTAGTTGCTACTTAAGCTACTAGCTACCTCTCCGTACTAGCTACCGACTCCCTAGCTAGCGGCCTTAAAAAAATAAAAGCAGCCGGTAGATGCCTCATCGCTCGGCCAGTGAGTCGGCGCATGGGCGCAGGAACCTCCAGAAATGCCTCTCGGCGAAGCCATCGCTGACCGAAGAGCACTTGAAGAACGCGGCCGGGGCCTCCAGAGGCCTTCAGACCATCTCACTTTGGATCACAAATTCCTTCATTTAGTAAAACAAGCTTGGTGGAACCATGCTTTGCCGCGCCTGCTTCTTCTGTGCGGTCTTTGACCCAACTTCAGACCAGTGTTCCTGGGCGCTAGGGCGGGTGGGCCTGATGGCACCTGGCAGCACATGCTGGATTGCCTGAGAGAAAGACAGTGCCTGGGACCACTTTCCGAAACGCCCTGATCGACCTGAGAACCTTGATTTGGGCCAGCTAGCTGGCCAGCTGGCACAGTAGCATCTTCACAAGAATCCACACACACAATCTCACTGCAAAGGCAAGGCGCCAGAAAGCACCAACTACCGGTCTTCACAAGGAGGACTTGCAGCTGTAGGAGGATTTGCTTGCTCCAAGATGCAAACACCCATTCGCTGCTGGAGGGTGTAGCCACTCCGTGGAACCCCGGGGCCAACGCCTCGGATCGACGAGGACGCTCGCGGCGCCTGGCGAAGATCTGGCATCAAAAAGCGATGTTTGGGGGGGGTCTTTCTCCTGCGTCAGATGGATTCCTGCGCGGACAAGGGCCATGTTTTTTTTTGTTTTCTCTCTCGCTCTCTAAACTGAGATCCAAGGCACCTGGACACAGGCGTGGGTCAAGTAGCAGAGCTGTTGGTCAAAACCAAGTCGAGGAAAGCAATCCATCACGGCAGGATACCCGTACAAGGATGAATTCTCATGAATTCTCTGACTCCCACGCCTGATCTGGAGCATAATCCGTTTTCAAAGGAAGATCTTTGTCTTTCGACGTCTCCGTCTGGTGAGTCTCCGAGGGACGCCCCATCCATCGGACCTCGTCCTGAGGTCACTGAAGCCTGTGTCTTGACCGATGACGAGTTCCTCACCAAGGTGGGACGAAGAGAGTTGGGCTGGGGTTGGGAGGGCCTTCCGTGAGGGTCCTGGGTCTTCCCGTCGCGTCCGGAACGTTTCTTTTTTTTACCTATTTTTTTGCGACAGTAACAGGGGCTGTTTCAAAGAGTAACGACCTTCCATTGCCACAAAAACCTTGCCGAACCATCGCAACACTTCCGGCACCGTCGCCAAAAGCCCTCCCAGCAACTCACTTTCGCAGAAAACCACAGTTACTGACGCAAAGAACCCGAAGGTTTCTTCGTCCGGTGGGGGTAAGGGGATGCTTGTAAACTTTCCAGTTCCCAGCATGTCCTACCCTCCGACTCACGATCATGGAAGTGGAACATGGACGCTTGGATGACGATTTTCCTCTAGAACAGGGTGGTTTCCACTTCCACTTCCGTCCGAGCTTAGATCGAGAAGCTCTAGCTGACTAGTCGTGATGCAGTTGTTCTTTGTTCCTAGTAGCTTCTTGTTCCTAGTAGTAATGCCAGGAGCTACTAGTAGCTTCTTGTTACGTCGTCCCAAGAGAGTCAGACTTGCCCTTCGTCGGTCCAACCGAAGCCAGTTCCCGGCTCGGTCAGAACCCCAGGCTCGGGAGAAGGAAGCCCTGGATGGTACCACGATGATCCTTTGCTTGGTATGGCCGGAAGAAGGCGCGGCGGAAGAAGGGGATGTCTGAAAGAAGTGGAGTCGCGACCCTAGATGGGCTCCTCGAATTAATATGTCATTATTTGTTCCTCAAATTTTGTCAATTTTGGAACACTAGATGGATGAACACTTGGGTGGTTCCAGTTTTTTTGAGCTACTGGATTTTTTTGGAACTAATGTGAGGGCCTGAACAAGGAGGTGTGGAACTGTTTTGGTGGCAATTGATTGAGCATGAAGATGCCAATCTCGGAGCGCTGGCTGCTTCTGCCCTTTTTTGTGGTGCAATTCAGATCATTTCTGGTTATGGAATTGGCTGTCGTCGTGGGATTTGTGTAACTCTTTGGAGGCACAGGAAGACTTGCGAAACGTTGATGCAGCAAAAACAATGTTCCCATTTTTTTTAGTTGTTTCTTGTTCTTCTTTGGAGAACTTATGCAGGGATTTGTGATTTGTGTGAATTCATGATGCATTGTACACATGCCTCCGCTCCCACCATTCTTCAGTCTGTTTTCCAGGGACCAAGGCTAAGCGAACATCTGCAGTTCCTTCATCGAAATCCAGAGAGACTCTCAAGTATCACTCGCACACAGACATCGAAAAGACTGCAAATTCTGAGGCACGAGCCATACCGAAAAGCACTTGATTTTGTGAAGGATTGCTACTTGTAAGATCTTGTAAGTGACCTTGGATCAATGACACCAGGGAACTTGGTCTGATAACATCACACCAAGACCTGGAGTTGGTCTCCGGAGAGGCTCGACCCGAAGCTCCGAACCCATTCAGACCCCCGACCGAGGCCGGAAAGGCAAGAGTCGGAGCAGGCCAGGGCCGAGCAGTGGGTCACCGTGTTAAAGAGCAGGAGGTGTTTCTTGCTTTCTCGGAAGATGCCTCAGGGTGGGGAGGAGCCAGAAAAAAAGGGGTGAGTTACTGGTATGAGCCTTGAAGCGTTGCAAACTTGGCAGGTGCACTTGTGACCGGGATGACTTACAAGTTACAAGCTGATCAACAAGTGGTGGGGTTGTTTCGCACAAGTTCTACCCATTAAATCCAATCCACTGCTGCAACCTACTGTTCGGTTGCTATTTTTCTTCGGTAAACCTTTGGAAGACCAAACAGAAGACTGCGGACAGCGTGAACCGGAACCGGTTCCAGTTATTTCTCAAGTGCTGCCTTTATGATGACAAGAAACCTATACGTTTGTTTTTCTTTTTCGCGCAAGAGCATGTTCAAAGCTGCCCTCTAACTTTACGCATAGTCCCCGCCGTCCCTGTTGTCCCTTCCATTCAACACATGCGAAAACCACCTCTTTGCTTCATAGATGTTGAGCGGTATACTGTTTGGAGCTGCATTGGAGCTGTTCCGTTTCTATATATGTAATATCAAACATAATCATATAACGATACAGTATATATTGTACAAGTATCTGTATATATTAGCTCTCACACACACATCATATACATTAGGCAAGACCCATCTCTGTCAGCACTCTCGACCCCACACCCAGATCGCTCAGATCGATCCCCTCTTCACCCAGAGCGCGTCTTCACCCGCGTCAGAAACCTGCGTCCGTCCCAGACAATGATCGTCAGAAACCTGTGACACCACAGCGGACAGGCTCTTGATTGCCAACCTGGGAGATTCTCGTGCAGTGATCTGTCGACAACAGGCGCCGGTCCGCGGCGGTTCCTTTTTTGTTTTTTCCGAGTGAGGGGCGGACATTTCACCGTAGGTTGCAGGTGGAAGTTGGTGTTGGTGGGGCAAATCCAGAAACCAGACCTCCAGCGGTGGGAGTTGGTTCTTGCCATTTCTTGGAGAAGCTTTTCCAGAGTTCAGGTGTGACATGGTGAACCTCTGACAGCCGCTGGCGATTTGGGAATGGCTCAAAAGAACCAGACTCCTAACAAAGGGCTTGCAGGTTTGGTTCTTGGCTTGAGAAGAGTCATGGAAAGACCGGAAACAAAAGCCTGTGTTTGTCTACAAAGGTCTTGGCAGATGAACTTCTCTCTCTTTTCTTAGATAGTGATGGGTGCAATTTTGGTGTGTTGTGTTGTCTAGATCATCATAGATCATGCACCGCATTCACCCGCGCTCCTGTGCATCCTCTCCGCGGCGCAGGGGCATCATCTGGGAGTCTTTCGGCTTTCGGATGACCACAAGCCGGGTCGGCCCGATGAGCAGAAGCGGATCGAAGGGAATGGAGGCGTTGTGGACATGCAGGCGCGCCGCCCCCACCGGTTTGGGTGGACCGACCTCGGTCAGAGAAGATCCACACCGGTGTCGGGTGCGTGGACATCGGTGTGTTGGATGTGGAGAATTCGGTCGGTGATGTGGAACATCGAAGAAAAAGAGCCTGTTGGATGTGGACCATTTTGGTCTGAGCACCACGCCGGAGACTTGTTGTTCGTCAAACGCATCATCCCCTTCTCGGATGTTTCTCCACCATGACGGACGCCGGCCTTTGTTGGCATCTCCCAGTAGAAGTGGCCGGATTTCCCACCTCCTCCCCTCCCCGCTCCCCGTGCCTTTTTCACCGGACGGAAGCTCGTCCACCTCCTCGCTCCGTGAAACGCGCAGGGCGTCTGGCGCGTCTTCACTCCGGGGCCGGCGACCTTCGGCGGGCGCTCCTTGCTCTGGGGCTTGGCGGTGAGCCGAGCCTTTGGAGATCTCTTGATGAAGGTGCGCGACCGGGATGGGATCCCACGAAGCCTTGGAAGGTCCAGGGCCCACATGAAACCGGAAGCACCTGGTAGGCCGCGTCTTTCGGTCCATGCGTGTTCAGGTTCCATGTTCCTCTGCGTTTGCGTGTTGGCAGAAGTGGATGGGTGGATCACGGCCACGGATGGTGGGGCGTGGGGAACGTAACCCGAAAGTGTATCTGACGGAGGATGCTTCGTCTCCAACCCCGTAAAATACTGGGGGTTGTTTGTTGCGAAATTATATCATTAGTTTTTCCGGGAGCAACATGCAGATCTCCAGGCCCCATATGAGACAGGACACCTTACCAGCTTCTTGGATGGACGTTGGATGGTTTCTATCAAGAAAACACATGCTTCCGGGGGGGCTTGATCAGCTTTCTTTGGCCCATGGTTGATGTACAACCCATCTTGCACCCATCTAGATATTCTTCCTCGGATCATCAGGAGATGAGGTAGCTCGTCCTGTACGTTTCTTGAAATTCGAAGCCGGGGCTTGACAGATGTGAAAGACCTGACACTCAGCACTTGAGTTTGAGACATAGAGTGCACAGCCTGGTTTCTTTGTTGTCTTTCTTTTGTGCCAACTCTCTTGCGGTGTCGGTTCAGTTCAGACAGGAGCCGCAAAGATATGGCTGCACAGGAGAGGATGGGCAGTACGGCAGTACGGACCTTCGAGTCCAGTGGGCTGGGTTCACATTACTGGAGGGTTTGCAGCCTGGCAAGGGCAAGTTGAACAGAACATGGGTGAAATAAAATCGCATTCAATGGGACAAGTGGTCCAGATCCAGATCATGTGAAAGAACAAGGACTGTTTGACTTGCTCTCCCACTCACTAGCATGGACGTGGAAACTCCCCTGTTCGTAGAGCAAAATGGTCTGACAGGCGCCATCCACTTGCATGTCGCAAGCGGATGATCCAAGATTCTACTTTTCTATCCTACGGAAAAGGCCCTTCACTCCCAGCCTCGTCACAGAGGCTGCACGGGAGCCTTGGTGAGTGCTATGCCTGAGATCACCACCTGCGAGCTGAACATCAGTGAGGAGCGGTCTGTTGGATCCTCTGGTTACGGGGAAGACCACTCTCTTGGGAGCGCCGCAGTTCGTTCACAGGTGTAGAACATACACAGTTTTGCCGCGTCTTTAGAACATATCCCTAACAAGCACCAATATCACGGAGCGTTGTTTCAAGCGTTGTTTCAAGGAGCGTTGTTCTTTTGCACGTTATGTTTTTTGGCTTCATTAAGACATTCTTTCTTCGGCTGATGGCCCTTTCCAAGGAAGAACGCTTGAACACTGTGTGTCTTTCATGAAGCTCCACAAGTGCCAGCCGGAAGAAAACAAAATAACTACTGTATAACATGCAAAGATTTGAGGACAATCTGAGGTTCTAGAATCGTATCATGTGGGAATTTTGGTTTGTTTTGTTGATTTGTGAATGGTCAGTGATACATCTTTTTGGGAGATGCTCCTTGAAGGAGATGCTGCCGCATCATGCTCCAATCACAACTCGCCAGGATCGCTTCCTAGTGTTGGCCTGTGACGGCATTTGGGACGTGCTGAGCGACGAGGAGGCCCAGTCGGGCGTTCCCCATTTTTACATTCTATTTTTCTCAGGGTGCCACTTTCCATGCCTATCTAGTGACCAGTCGTAATTCAACTTTTATCCGATAGTCTCGCAGAGAGTCCGGAGCGACGTGACCGAGAGCTTTGAACGCAGATGTAGACGTCGAAAACCGCTGATGGCAGGCCATCACGGTGTGCTCTGAGCACAAGACGGCCGATCAGGCGGCGCAAGCTTTGGTCAGGCGCAACATCTTGGACTCCATAAAGCTGCATGGAGAAATTGGGGGTCTTGGGGGTCATGGCAGGCTGTTGTCTGACCTGAGTTTTGGCAGGGAAGCGAAGGAGGGTCGTTTGCAATTAGTGGGGGGTCTTTATCATCTAGCTGGCCATGAACAGTGTAGTCATCCCAAAAAGTACTTGGACTTTCGAACATCTACAACACTCACCAGGGTATGTATTTTCGTGAAAGAAAATGAGGGCAGTGAATTTTCTGCAGGAAAAGAAACTGAGGCAACAGGGGGGGGGGATGGTGGATGCACTGAGTGCTCTGCCATTTTGGCTCAAGTGAGCTCCCGCCTCCTGTTGCCACCTTTTGTTTTCGCCATGGCTGTGCGCAGCGTTTGGTGGGTCCTCGCGGCCTGGTGGTGGCCAGGAGGGGGAGCCTACGTCATTGGCGAGGGCACGACAGAGAAGGGAAGGGTGGCAGGGCTCCAGATGGTCGGAGAGTTGTGGAATGCAAGCCTAACCAGCGACGGGTACCACTTTATGGAGAAGACCTACAGTTGGATTGGGCGCTCGACTGGAAAGGAGCCCGGTGTGTCAGGAATGGCAGGAATCAAGACAGAGGGAAAGGGCTTGAAAGGTCTCGGCACAGCCGGAGGTGGTCGGGGAGCACCAAGTACGGCAGGAAGAGGGACCGGAGAAAGAGCCCGAAAAGGACATGGCGAGACGAATCCAGGCGCTACCCCGCCTCAAGAAAGGACGAGGCTGGATCGAAAAGCGGTGGAAACAGGGCTGGCCAGCTATAAGGGCATGAAGATCGTACGGGTGGTGAAGGTACGAGACGTAATGGTCAAAGAGGAGGACGGAAAGTACACCAAGGAAGAGGTTGAAGGGAATAGGGCGAATTACGCACACGAGAGGAACAGAAAGGGATGGAGGACTGGAAAGGGCCGGAAGTGGAGAGGCTGGATACGGAATCGAAGACGGAGGGTCCCGAAAGTCGGAAATTGGCTGACGATAGTCGGGGTCCAAGTCGGTGGGCTAGCTTTGATCGTGGTGTGGACCCACACATACAAAGCTGGGCAGAAGGGCCCACAAAGGGAGTGGCAGGAGGTGTTGGAGTTGATCTGGGGCTCAGGCACCTACAAAGCAAAACGTTGTGGCGGTCAGGAAGAAACAGGCCGTGGCAACCCCGCATGCGGGGAGGGTTAATCGGTCGGGTCAAGAGCGATCGAACTCCGCGGGTAAGAAGGAGGAAGGAAACTCGGAAAGGGCAGAAAGGGAGAAGGCCGAGGACATGCAGGGGGGCTATCCCCAGGGAAATACCCTGAAGGAATACCTGGCGGAGAGGAAGTTCGTGTTCGTGCACTTCTTAGCCGAGGAGGGTGACAACAGGCTGATGGAAGAAATGCAAAGGGAAGGAAGGAAGAAAGGTCTGTGCCTCATGAATGTGGCAATACCAGCCAGTACAGGGAACGTGTCTGTCTGGGACGGCTGGCTGAGGCTAGCGAAGGAGGGGCACGTGGATGGTGTCTATTGCGCACCTCCGTCACAGACGTATCAGGAGAAGTTCGCAGAGGACGGAGTGATACAGGAATGGAGGACGAAGGAACACCCGAAGGGGACGCCACACTTGACGGCGGAAGAGAAGGATCGGTGCGAACAGGAGGACAGGATGTGGAGGATGGCGATCAAGTTCGCGGAGGCGGTGAAGGAAGGAAGCGGTACGGAAACCTTTAAAGGGGCTGCAGTCGTTTGTCACCCAATCGAGGAAGAAGGTGACTGGAAACCGCAAAGCTTTGAAGAAGGTTGGAAGGAAGAAGGGACGCAGCATGTTGCGTTCCATTGGTGCGCATACCAAATCGAGGAAGAGAAAGGAAAGAGGTTCGGAAAGAAGATGAAGATCAAAGGAATACTGCACGGGCTAAACTCCTTTGGGAAGGGGTGCAACTGTGGCACGAAGGGTCACAAAGTGGCAAACACCGTACACAGGCTCGTAACGGCCCAACAACTGCCAAGAGAAGCGGCCAGTGAGCTTGCTAAACGGTTCACGGAGCACATGCTGTGGCTGGCTGAAGCGGAGGTGAGGAATGGCAAGATGAAGAAAAGGGAGCACCACTACCGAGGTTGGGAAGCTGGAAAAGAGCTAGGCCCAAAGGAGGAGAGACAGCAAAGGGTGGAGCTAAAGGAGCGAGGCCAGAGCAGCGAGGGGCAAGGAGGACGCGCAACCCCCCTCGGCGGTTTGAGAGATGCGCAAGAAGCCGTCAGGAGGTGTGAAGGGCTACGGACCGTCGGTAGCAGGGTGAGGGGTGCTTGGACGGGCTTTGTGGGGCGAGAGAATGGGGCACTGCTGATCGCCACCACGTACGGTACATGGACACACTGAAAGAACTGAAGCGTACGGTGGGTGCAGCGGGGCGCAGCTTGACCCGGGAGTCGTCGAAGTGGCGGAAGGAATTGCCATGGGCCTATGAGGTGATCCATGCCTGGGCAGCGAGGGCAGAAGACCCAGACCGAGGGATTGTGGAGTGGGCACAGGTGGGCGCACCACTAGGGCTTAGACTTCCAATCCCCGAATCGACCATTTTCAGGCAAGGAGACCCGATCGTCGCTGAACTGCTCGCATGGGAAGAGTGGGACAGGGCAGACGGAAACGTGCTGTCATTCCATCGGTGGGCAGAGGACTTGCCGCACGAGACTCTGGAAGCCTTGACACCACTTGAGGCGGACGCGATGGTATTGCGCGTGGATAAGGAAGAGCTGGCAGGGCTCGGGTGGCCCACATCACATCCAGGGCGCTTGGAGGTGAGGGAGGAAAAGGTGGCTCGCCGCAAGAGAGGTTTCTTTACAGAGATGGTAGAGTGGGCTACGACCGGAGACGTGGTAGCGGCTTTGAAGAAGGCAACGCGAGCGGCAAAGGACAGAAAGGAGAATGACACCTCGGTCGAACTGCTGAAGATAGAGGTGGCGAGACCACTAGAGCACCTGGGGCCAAAGGAGAGCGAAGCATCCCAATCGGTCTTCATCAGGCCAGGGCAGCAATTCTACGTGGCTCGAACGCTCATGCCAGGCATGAAGGCGGCGGCGCTGCTATGGGGGCGTTGGATGGCCCTCATAGCGAGGCTGTTACAGGGTATGTTCGAGGAAGACGAGTTGGCCCTGGTGATACTCCCCAAGGAAGTGATCTTGGTGATGCAGGGCGACCAAGTCCGAAGGGATCAGATGGCCGCGTTGGTGTTGACGACCCTGGCGGGATTGGGGCTGAACATCCAATGGGGCCGAGGCAAGCGTGGACGGGACATTATCGTCGACGGGGCCAGTATGGCCAAGGCGCAACTAGGAGGTGAAGTGGTACTTGGCGTGGCCCGAACAGAGGTTCGCGCAATTCCAGACAATGCTGGAAGCACAGGACCGGGTGCCAGAGGTGGTGGAGGTCATGGGCCAACACCTGTTCGAGATCGGACGCGAACTGCATCGCCGATATCCGAGCGGCAGGGAAATGTATCTGCTCATGGGATGCGTGTGGCTGCGCTGGTCCGAGTTGGAAGAACGGGAGAGGAGAGAGGACAGGTCACTGGAGGCAGACTGGGACCTCTTGAAGGAGACGATGGTGCTTCTACGAAAGTGGTGCCGGGATTGGCTGAGGGCCGGCATCGATTCGCCACAGAAGCGAGTCAATCTAGGTGTGACGCCGGCGAAGGTGAAGGTTCGGCTACACTTGGAGGACTTCAAGGTGGTGGCGGTACTCCAGACAGGCACGAGGACGGCCAGGGCGTTGGTGACATACACCAAAGCGTCGGAATGGGCCAGGCTGGGCTGGCCGAGAAGGCAAGAAGTGGGGTGGAGCTCGAAGGTGTGGCTGGCGTTGCTCATCACGCTGAAGCACTGGCCGGCGGCTCTACGTCTGGTGGCCCCATCCTTTCTGGTCCAGCGGGAACAGTTCCGAGACTGGTTAAGGCCAGCCGAGGGCCAGAGGGCGCATACGGACATGTTCCTGAGGCAGGAGTGGATGGTTCAGCTGGCTCGCCTGAACCTCGACGACTGCAAGGTAGAGGAGGACACGTCGGAGGAGCCGCTAGAACGCCGGGTGGCCGACGCGGAACCAGGGGCGATCCTGGGTGGCGGGCTGCTGGTGGAAGGGGTCCCGGACAGGACCGAGGAGTGGACTTTCTTGTCACCGCCACAATGGCCTTCAGGGCCTATGGAGGTGCTGTCAAAGGAGTTCCACGAGCGGCGCCTGCTGGACCCGTAAAGCGGGCGAGCAAGGACGTGCACGAAGGAGGGTAAAGGGAAAAAGGGAAGGGCTGTCAAGGAAAAAGGTCGGGCCGTAAACCCCTCTCTGAGAGGGGCGAAAAGGCCGTGGTAAGGTCGCAGGGCGAGTGACGGGAGCCGGGGTCGGAACCTCAGTCGGGAACTCCAAAGGGGTGGAGATGCCTGCAGGGGGATGCCGAACCGCCCGTCCTCCCCCCGTCGCGTCGTTTCGACACAGGGAAGGAATGGAACCCAAAGTGGGTCGCCCTGATGAGGGGATAAGGTCGCCTGGCTGTTTCACCCCCCCTGTTAACACGTTTGTCGCGCCGTTCGGTCGCTTCGCTCATTCTGGCAGGCCGTTATCTGTGTTGCCTGGGCTCGACGAGTTTCAACACGTCCCACACTGGCGGGGCGGGCCAACACCCATGGCGGCGGCAGGGCTGGGCGCGGAGTACTCCATGGAGGTGGTGATGTGCGGACCAGCCAGTTGAAGAGGAAGCACCAGAAGGGGAGGCAGAGGAAGCACCAGAAGGGGAGGCAGAACCACAGAAGCAGAGAGGCACCAAACGGAGGTGGAAGGGCACTATAACGTCAAGCAGAGGGACACGACAGAGGAAGAGAGGGAGGGGCCCCACGGAAAGGGACCCGAGACAGGGAGGACGAGGACCCGAGACAGGGAGGCAGCAGCATAAGCTGATTACCGCTCGGAGTCACGCAGGGACGGTCCTCTGAGGAGAAGTACCGCAAGCGGAAAGTAAGGAGGAAAGGCGTCATCGTAAGGCCCGGCGAGGACCTGAGAAAAGCAGGCTGATCACGGTTCGTGATGAAGCGGCAGTGGGGTTGCATAAGGGTAGTCAAGCAGCAGAGGGCCGCAGCAAGGTAAGTACCAAAGGGTGGCAGGGTGTCAAGATGAGGACCTGAGAAAGGAAAGCAAGTGGTACGCTGGTTACCTCGGAGTCAAGCAACAGAAAGGTTGCAGAGAGGGAGAAGCGAAGGAATCGTAGGAAAGGGTTCTTCGGGAAACTCGGTGAGGACCCGTGAGAGGGATGCAGCTCCAATTGCTGTTCGTCGCTGGGAGCCAAGCAGCAGAGAGGCTGTAAGGGGGAACCAAGCGGCAGAGGGGCTGCTTTAAGGGAGGTACCAAAGGGGAGGCAGCAAGGCGCGATGAGGATCTGAGGAAAAAGGGGGGAAGCAGGGCGGTGCGCTGCTCACCGCTCTGAGTTAAGCAGCAGAAGAGCTGCATTTGAGGAAGAGTCGGAGGAGTCAAGGGAGGACATGAAGGGACATGAGAAGGGATGCAACTCCTAAAGCGGATCACCATTGGGAGTCAAGCAGCAGAGGGACTGCAGGGAGATAGGAACCGCGAGGGCAGGGAGAAGGTTTGTGAAAGGGAACTCCCGAGGGAGAACGCAAGAGGTCGGGAAGGGAAGAATACTTCGAGGAGGAGGAGGAGGAAGAGAAGGGACAGAAGGCTTAACAAAGAGAGGAGGAGGTGATGGAGGAGAGCAATACGGAAAGGTGCAGACGGGCAGAGGAACATCTCGCTGGCTGGTCGGACTGGAAAGAGGAACTTGGGGCGTAGGCACCAACTACGCAGCGAGTGTGGCTGAGGCGAGTAGGGCTTGAAACGGGGCTCACGCCCGTGGGTCCAGCGCGGCGGCGGAACCGAAAGAACAGGGGAGCGTTAGCCCTAAAGCTGGAGGATCTTGGCGAAGAGGAGGAACTTACATAGTCAGCACGCCGGCCGGGAGGAGTGAAGACAAGGAAGGGGGAAGAGCATCGGTCATGCGCCCAAGGAACGAGTCCAAGAAGGGGTACTTGGAAGGACGCGTGACGAGACAGTGGATGGACAAGGAAGTGGAAGAAGGCCGGATGAGGAAAGGAAGGAGTGAAGGAGGGAAGGAGGCAACAAGGGTCTGTCAAAGGTCAGACCCCGGAGGAAAGTACCGAGTCATCTGGCAGTCGGGGGAGACGCCGAGAGGCACGAAGGGTTCAGAGTCATAGCCCGACGCAGGAGGGTGACGAAGAGCCAGAGGAATCAACGCTAAGGAAGTGATGGTCTACTACGACGGGAGGGACACTAGGCGCATGAAGGCCCTCCAAGAGTATGATGTTCGTTGGCAGGAGTGAAAGCGTGGCCGGAAGAAGGGAAGGAGAAAGAAGCCTCGGTAGCAACCGGAAGAGAAGAGAGGGCTGGAAGTTCGGCATCTGGATCGAACCGTGGCGTACCTGGGATCTGCGGTAATCACCTCCGTCAGAGGAAGAAAGACCGCAAGAAAGGGGACAAACTTCTGAAGTCGAAAGGAAAAGGGAAAGGAAGGCGTGCTCAAAATAGAGCCTGAGGAAAGGAGTAGAAGAAACGAAGGAGCGGTCAAGTGGAAAAAAGGGCGAAGCGGAAGAACAGAGGGCATCAGACGGGGGAGTGAGACGGAAGGGTCCCAGAGGCACGAACTAGAGGATGGAATCATCTCCACGATGCGTCGGGGCGGCAAGAAGGTGCATCCTACACTCACGGCCGAGGAAGGACACAAGACGGGCCTGACGCGCGGATAAGGATCAGTCAGAGGCAACCAGGAGGGAGGGCCGAATAGACTACGCCGGAAGGGGAAGTCTAATTTCGGGCAGCTTACCCAAGCAAGGGCAAGCGGTCAAGGCCTGGGAGGAGAGGAGACCCGCAGGGCGGGGGAAACAAAGCGAGGAAGAAGCTTGGGAAGATCCATCGAGTAGGAAGAAGAAAGCACGCCAGGCGTGAACAGAAGACGCTAAGTTCAGGAAGGTATGGAGGGCGAAACAATCTGGTCAGGAAGAATCTGTACGAGCGAGGTTTGCGTCGCAGAACAGATGGATATGGACCACAAGGGAAAGTTTTTCTCGGAGGAGAAGGAAGCGAGCAAAGAAAGGGACCTTAAGGACGCACAAGACTCTGTGCTAGGGAGAAATCAGGCTAACTGAGATTTCTTCGCGCAATGGCGGCAAAATTTCCCCTACGAGCTACTGTGCGAAAGGGGGTGGTCGTTTCGAAGGAGTCGAGGTTAAGAATACTTCCAGCGCAAAGCAAAGAGGTGTGAAGTGCAGGAAGTACAGCTTGATTGACTCTGCTCATCATCC